TGGCTACGCAGCGGACGTCACAGGGTTACACTTTCAGCCTTGGCTCCGGCTCTGTTTCTTGGCGGTCTACCCGCTCGTCTTCTGTTCTCAGTTCCAGTTGTGAGGCTGAGATCTACGCAAGGGCCATGGCTGCACAGGAGTTACGCTGGCTCACCTACCTCCTGACCGACTTGTGAGAGCGGCCTCATTCTTCTCCAGTTCTGTACGTAGACAACAAGGCCATGATTGCCTTGTGTCAGGAGCACAGACTGGAGCACAGAACGAAGCACATCACTCTGCGTTACTTCCTTGCTCGAGAGTTGCAGCAGTGTGGTCAGCTTCGTCTTGCTTACGTGGCCACTCAGGCCAACACTGCTGATATATTCAGCAAGGCACTTCAGTCTGGTTATCATCAGCGTTTCTGTATTGTTTTAGACCTTGTGCCTACTTTGCCTCACTTGCTCACTGCGTGACTTTGCTTGTACTGAAATATACATATATACATACCTGCATGCTTACACTTGCTAGGGTATGATCACTGTACTGTATGTGAATGGGCCTTGTGGCCATTTGCTTGTGCTCGGAATGTGTGGTGACTGTCAGAATATTATGCTCTAGCCTGTAGTGGGGTGCTCTATAGCGAGTACAACCCTTCTAGGGTTTGCTATTTGTATCCTCATTCTTGCTAGTGCTCTCCCCTTCTTCTTTTGCCTAAACTTCTCTTGCCTAGCTAGGACTTACCTAGCTATGGCTCCTAACTCTACCTACTATTTTCACATGGTATCAGAGCAGGTCGATCCCCTTGGATCGATCCTGTGGGTGGGCTCACCACCTCGTTGCTTCCGCTGCAACTTCCACTGCTACCCTCTGTGCCGCACGCCCCGTGGCGTGCGGCAGTTTTTTCTTCCCGCCGTGCGCCCCGAGGCGCGCGGCGGTTTTCTGCCCGCCGTGCGCCCCGTGGCGCGCGGCGGTTCTCTGCCCGCTGTGCGCCGCGAGGCGCGCGGCGGGCTTCTGCCCCATCACTCGGCGCGTCGCCCTCGGGAGGCGCTGCGACGGGCGACGGGGACCCGCGCGTCGCCCCCCGTCGCCCGTCGTGGCCTGCGCGCGGCCCGTACAGGCTACGCGCGGCCCGTAAGGGCTGCGCCAGGCCCGGACGCGGCCCGTACGGGCTGCGCCAGGCCAGCGCGCGGCCCGTACGGGCTGCGCCAGGCCCGCGCGCGGCCCGTACGGGCTGCGCCAGGCCCGCGCGCGGCTCGGGCCGCCTGCGCGCGGTTCGGGCGGCTCTGCCAGGCCCGTGGGCGGCCCTTTCCTCGCTGCCCCTGCCCTCCCCGCTGTCCCCCGTGCTTCTACTGGCGCCCCACCCCTCCTACAGCCCGTTCTCCTGAATTGGGGTTTGGGGGTGAGGGGTATGGGGGTGAAGCCACTGTGTGCCGTTCCCTGCTCCTCCTCCTCCTCCGTCTCCCTGTGCTGCAGCTGCCGCTGAGGGGGGGTGGACTTGTTGGAGCCGTTGGAGTGGTACTAAGGGGGGGTGAAGGGGGAGTGGAGCTAGCGGTGTAGCAGCGGGTGTGTGTCAGGGGGAGTGGGATAGTTTGGGGAGGTTGAAGGGGGTGGCCGCCGTGAAGCCAGCAGCTCCAGTCGCCCGTGAGACCGTTGCGCCAGTCGCCCGTTAGCCCGTTGCGCCAGTCGCCCGTGAGCCCGTTGCTCCAGTCGCCCGTGAGTCCGTTGCTCGTCTGCCGCTACTTTTAGCTGCGGAGCCAGTTACTCCAGTAGCCCGTGTGCCAGGTGCTCCAGTTGCCAGTGTGCCAGTTGCTCCAGTTGCCCGTGTGCCAGTTGCTCCAGTTGCGCCGTGTGCCAGCAGCTTCAGCTGCCGCCCACTACCTCCTCTCCTCTCATAGTCTCTTTCCTCCTCCTCACTTGCCCGTTGTGACTACCACTAGCTTTGCTCATAATTGTGAATTTTAAACTATTGCTTCTTGAACTTGTGCTCAGAATGTGTGGTGACATTGTGATCCACCCTGAGCTTGTACTGCTTTGCTTGCTCTGCTGATTACACCCCACTTTGGCTATGGGGGTGTGTCAGAATATTATGCTCTAGCCTGTAGTGGGGTGCTCTATAGCGAGTACAACCCTTCTAGGGTTTGCTATTTGTATCCTCATTCTTGCTAGTGCTCTCCCCTTCTTCTTTTGCCTAAACTTCTCTTGCCTAGCTAGGACTTACCTAGCTATGGCTCCTAACTCTACCTACTATTTTCACAGTGACTTCGTGATCCACCCTCAGCTTGCTTTGGTTTTCTTAACTGGTCTTGTGACCACTTGTTCTCCCCCACTTTGCCTATGAGGGTGTGTCAAAATGTTTTAGTGCTTACTTTGTGTAGGCTATAGTGGGGTAGCCCATAAGGGGTACAACCTAATAAGAGTTAGTACTTGTACCCAACTCTTTCATAGTTCATTTATTCTGGTTCTATAGTTTGACACATGTGTCTGTTTTCGCGGTGTACGGTGTAGTAAGTACAGTCGGGAAGCCGCTGCTGCACGCTATGACACGAGTTACCGAGGCGAGTTACCGATGGGAAGCGGCGGTCGTCGCGGCATAGTGGTGTTACAGCTTCGCTGTCGCCGCTACAGTTCATGCTCAATAAATTACTGTAACGTAACGACAAAGCTGCTTTTGAGTAGATTCAAAATCAAGAAATTACAGTAACGGTGACACGAGCGAGCGCGCACGAGCACTCGGCGAGGAAGTTGCACGGTCGATCGTGGCTGGAAAAAAAAAAAAAAAAAAAAAAAAAAAAAAAAAAAAAAAAAAAAAAAAAAAAAACGGATGGACCGCTCGGTGAACTGGCGGGTCGGATTCCGTCCAATGACGGCGCTCATTTATCGTCGTAGGAAAGAGCGGAGGGTGTTGGGGGCCGACCGTTCTGTCCATTTGATAAAAGTAGTGTTTTGAGACATCTTGGGGGACAACCGCGCCGTGTCAAAACACTACTTTAACCACATCGTCGTTGGAAAAAGCGGAGGTTGTTAGGGGATGGGGATGACCGCGCTGTCAGCCCGAGCAGTCAACGGAAGCTTGGAGCCGCAGTTGCCAAACGAAGCTGTTAGCGGTTCGGTTGGCAGCAAGATTGCTGCACAGCAACCCCCGAAGCCCTAATTTCCCTCTTCTCTAAGGCTTTGCCACTCCACACTGCTTGTGAAGGGACATGCTGATTGCGGAGTCTGCATGTCAGCACCGACCAAGGCCGCAGTACTACTTCTATCATGAGAAAAGCGCAATAGTATTACTAACAAACCGCAGCGCATCGTTCGCGATTACTGTACAGTGCAGTATCACCATGATATGGTGCCGATGGTTGCATGCAACCGGCTCTCCGCTGTGAGATACCGCTCGCGTGCATCCGTCCTCCCTTTCTAAAGTTTCTCGAGTTTCGTTGCTCAGCAGCTCACACAATGACAGTGACGTGTGTAGCCTCCCTGAGGACAAAACTCTCCATCTCGGAGACCGCTTTTGAGTGACTGACACAACAGCCAACTTGGTTCCTCAGCAGCTCACACAGGTTGCTCAGCAGCTAACACAGTGACAGGGGCGTGTGTAGCCTCCCTCGGGATAGCACCGCTTTAGAGTCGACTCAACAGTCAACTTGGTTGCTCAGCAGCTCACACGGTGACAGTGACAGTGGACAGGACAGCACTATCGATTTCGGAGATCGATCAGCATGACGGGGAGCACCTCGATTGAACTCGAGATTCTTCCCTCTCCAAGTATCTCCTCCTCTGGAATCTCCTCTCCACGTCGTGCCTCATTGCCTCGTCGCGTCTCTGTTCCTGTTGTTGGCGGAATTGAAATGCTTCTCGCCTCTGCTTGCTGCGTTCTGCTCGTCCTGCTCGGCTCTCTGACAGGTTCGTGCAAATCTTCCTCCCTCATGCGTTTTAGTTAGACTCGGAACACGACGGAGCTCAACTATTCATATGTTTCAATCTGATTCAAAACACGTCAATTCCTCGCCGCTGCTTGCTGTTTTCTGCTCGTCCTGCTCGCCTCTCCAGCAGAGCAGGTTCGTACAGCAGTCCCATGTTATACCATTGAGTCGACTCAAAACACGGAGGAACCTAGTTTTGAGGCGCCTCAAAACCGCGTGTGAGAAGTCTAGTTTTGAGGCGCCTCAAAACCAACAGAGCAGGTTCGTGCAGCTGTCCCACCCTCATATCCTATACCAGTGAGTCGACTCAAAATACGGAGGAAACCAACTCCTCCTCCTTGCCGCTGCTTGCTGCGTTCTGCTTCGTTCTGCTCGTCCTGCTCGCCACTCCACCAGGTTCGTACAGCTGTCCCACCCTCATATGCTATACTATTGAGTCGACTCAAAAAATAGGAGGAACCCAACTCCTTCTTGCCGCTGCTTTTTGCGTTCTGCTCGTCCCGCTCGCCTCTCCAGCAGGTTCGTGCAGCTTTCCCACCTTCCTTCTTCCGCGTTCTGCTCGTCCTGCTCGCCTCTCCCTCTCTCATGCCTTTCTGGCTCATGTCGTGTCAAAAATGATATCGAGCTGAGAACACAACTGCTCCACCCCTCAACACATTTGTATGGACACGCCAAAAAAATCGCCTGGCGCTTCTCCTGTTGAAACGTCTCTCACACCTGGCGCTTCTCCTCCCTTCTTCCTTCCTCCCTCTTTCTTCTTCCTCTCCTGTCTGCTGCTCTTCCTGTTCCTTCTCCCCAACTTCTCTGTTGATTCGTCACCGCTTTTGTTCACCTCCAGGCGCGTGTTTATTCAAGCTGAAACGCCGTCTCAGAAAGTAGCTATTCTGTGGCGTTTTTCTACCAGTACCATAGTTAACTTGCGTTATGATTTTGTTTATGCATTTACTTGTCATTGCCCTTGCTTAGAGAATCTATCCACTCAATTAACCTCAATTTCAAGCCGCAAACATCACATTGATGAAAAGAGGTATTCTACAGCTTTATTAGTCTACATCTGTTTACCTTCTCCTTTTTTCCTTAACTCCTGCACAGCTGTGGCAGCTCTCAACCCCCCTCCTCCTCCTTCTCCTCCTTCTCCTTCTCCTCCTCCTCCTTCTCCTCCTCCTCCTTCTCCTCCTCCTCCTTCTCCTCCTCCTTCTTCTCCTTCTCCTCCTGCTCCTCCTCCTCCTCCTCCTGCTTCTCCTCCTCCTCCTGCTCCTCCTCCGCCTCCTGCTCCTCCTGGTCCAGACAGCACAAACCCACCTGTGTCCTCAAAATGTGCAGTCAAGCAGTGGCGCATATGCCCGTGGTTGTGCCAAAATAAGGAGAACGAGCCTCCCTGCCTGTTGAGAAAGGTTTACCCCGAGGGCCATGTTTGCATTCTGTTTGTGCGAAGCTGCAAGGGGTACAAGTGCTTTGAGATATTTTCCCTGGGCAATAGAGGATGAATTTGGTACTGAGATTTTAGTTCCATGACCAGGGATACTAATTTGGCTGGTTCATGTTGTTTGTGTTATGTCTTCTGTAATGCATTTCCTATATCGCTATCAGTTTTACCGAAACGGAGTAGTCGATTATGTACAGTATATTCAATAGTCTCTTGCGGACTTGCAGTCGTCTCGTCCGTACACTTGCTGACCTCACATGCTACGGTACCAGCCTACTACTGCTTCTGCCTGTGGGTCCTTCCTTCCTACCGACGCGATCCAAAGCGAACCAAACCGAACTAGGGTGCCCCATTTTGCCCTTTCTGGAAGATTCGGGTTGGATGGCCTATGTTGTACCTTCTTCCTAGGCGTCAGCCCGCGTTGCCGCGAGCCTATTGGCTCTCAATATCCGCCGACCCGATCCCCCACTACTGGCAGCAGCAGATTCCGTCTGTTCCGAACCGAGGAACCGCATCGCATCGACTCTTATGGGAATCTCTCGCCTGTTCGATTTGGTCTTTATGGCGAGGCTCCGCGTGTGTCCAGCAGTCCGAAGCTCAACCAGCCCAGCGTCACGGTGTGTGTCTAGCAGCGGCGATTAGTAATACACATCACCCCAGCAGGGCCCTTTCAAATTGGAGGGTTTCTGCTGGGATGACGCAATCGAAGCTGCCAAGCAGAAGCCACATCAGGTTGTCGTCTGACCGACCCGAGTCGCGAGAGACGACACGTGTCAAGGTCTGAGGCGCCTCCAAAGACGTCCGAACCGCCAAGGTGACGTGGCGCGCGTTTAAGCTGCCTCAGGCGCCGCTAGCGCCGCCCAACGATGACTCGTGGAACGCGGCGGCATCGTGTACTAGTAGAACCATCCGCGTCAGGTTCTGAAACCGGCGGCGTCACGCCGTCTTCCGTTGTGGTCTCGCGCTTGTCGTCCTCTCTTATAGGAGAACATTCGGGTTCCGCCGCCGATGCACCGTGCATCATGATCGGGAGACGTCTCCCCCGTCTCAGAAGGGAGTATATCGCCCGTCTCAGAAGTGATTGTATCACCTGTCTTTGTCGCCCTGTTCTTCTCTTGATTCTTCCTTGCCTGCTCTCCCATCTCTCTGTCGAGAGTAAAGGGAAAAAGTTGGTGCACTATCGAGAAAGTTGGGTACAAGTAACAAAAACTATACCCTACATTAGCTACCCCACTAAAGCTTACATTCTATTATGACATAGGCATATAATTTGACACACCCCCATAGGCAAAGTGGGGGAGAGTAAGGGGTCACAAGACCAGTCATGAGAAGCAAAGCAAGCTCAGGGGGGATCACAACGTCACCACACACACTGAGCACAAGCAAAGGGCCACAAGGCCAGTCCACGTGCAGAGGTATATATGCAACATCAATAGTACAGTGATCTCTACTTAGCAGAGCAAGCATGCAGGAATATATATAGATCACAGTATAAGCAAAGTCTACAGCAAGTGAGGAAAAGTGGGCACAAGGCCTAACAAAGTGCAGAAACGCTGATGATCACCAGACGGAAGTGCCTTGGTGAATATATCAGCAGTGTTGGCCCGAGTGGCCACGTGTGCAAGACGAAGCTGACCACGCTGCTGCAACTCTCGAGCCAAGAAGTAACGCAGAGCGATGTGCTTCGTTCTGTGCTCCAGTCTGTGCTCCTGACACAAGGCAATGGCGGCCTTGTTGTTGACGTACAGCACTGGAGGAGAACGAGGCCGCTCTCCCAAGTCGGTCAGCAGGTAGGTGAGCCAGCGTAACTCTTGTGCAGCCATGGCTGTGGCGTAGATCTCAGCCTCACAACTGGAGCTGAGAACTGAAGACGAGCGTGTAGAACGCCAAGAAACTGAACCAGAGCCAAGGCTGAAGGTGTAACCCTGTGACGACCGCTACGTAGCCTGGTCGTCAACCCAAGAAGCGTCCGAGTGACCAGTGAGGACAACGTCGCCCCGTCCTCCAAGCACGAGCCCCATGCCCGATGTACTGCACAAGTAGCGCAGTACCCTCTTAGCAGCATCCATGTGCACCTTTCGGTGCCGACCAGGAGCCACGTAGCGAGCCAGAAGGCCAAGAGGGTACGCAAGGTCAGGACGAGTGCAGGTCATCAGGTACATGAGGCAGCCCACTAGCTCTGGGTAAGGAGCACTCGACTCTACGGACTCGTCCGAAGGTGGAGCTGAGAGTGAGTGACCTGTAGCCAGAGGAGTGGCCTGTGCTGAGGACCAGGTGAAGCCGAAGCGTTGAAGGACTTGCTGCACCATGTGTGACTGAGTCAGTGTGATGGTGCGGCGTGCTCTGTCCCGGGTGATCTGTGTTATAGTCACAATAGGCTTGAATGTGCCTAAAACGAAAGATAGAGAGCACAGACGGATTTCTGCACAGCGGCTTCAAACGTTGATAGCGTTCTGCTCACAGCTGCAAATGACTTGATTCAAATTGGATCTGGAGCGTCTTCACGTCGTCTACAATTAGCAATTTAGATTGCACGATTTTATAAAGAATTGACGACACAGCGTCGGTTTGAACGAACGGTACTATGGCAGCCACTATAGTCATAGAACACAAGATAGGAAGAGTTACGAGTTGGGAATGACTCCCAGCTCCTACAAACCCCAAGAGCCGAGGTACAGTGATGTGTAACAGTGCCGCACTGTCCCCAACCACGAAGGGTCTCGAAACTACCCTTCACTAGGGCCTACACCAAGTGAAATGTTACACTACACAAAGTAATGTAACTATCTTCAATATCTTGAGGTGTACCCTTTTGGCAAGCTTCGAAATCACTTGAGGCTTGACACCAAGGCTCGGGCTCTTCATCACAAACTCATCCTTGAGTTCTTGATGGGTCTGCTGCACACACCTGCGACACGCCGAACGTTCGACACAGGACAAAATAGAAACCGCGCACGACAAAATAGAAACCGCGCGCGAGACACAAACGACCGCGTAACACGCGTCTAGCGATAACTCGCTATTGACTCGACACACACACTCGACATCATGACTCAACATTCACACACAATTATAAGCATGAAATATATATTATCCCATGCCCTCATACCATTCCATACACACACACATTCACGCACACGGACAACAAGCCGAGTGCAAACCGTAGGGTTGCACCAACAAACTCCCCCTCGGATTGTTGGCCTTAGGATATGTTGCTCTCTCAGTTCAGAGCCATCCCAGCCAGCTTGCAACACTTCCAATGCTGCTGCTCCACCAGCCTCTTGGTCATCATGTCAGCCGGCTGCCCCGTGGTCTTCACGTAGCGCAACTCAACTTCACCAGCGGTTACCATGCTACTCGTCCAATGCCACTTCACTCTCATGTGCTTCGTGAGTCCATGCAACACAGGGTTCTTAGCAAGAGCAATGGCACCCTGGCTGTCACAGTACAGTGGGGTAGGTCCTTGCTGCTCCTCCCCCAATTCAGCCAACAAACGCCGCTGCCACACAATCTCCCGTACGGCACGGAAGAGTGCCATGTACTCGGACTCCACCGAGCTCAAAGCTTGGTCAACCTGCTTCTTGCTCTCCCAAGCAGTTGGGCCTCCACCAACACAGCATATGAAGCCTCCCACACTTGTCATGTCCTCTGGTTCTGATGCATATGAAGCATCCGAGTAGGCGGTGAGGAACAAACGCCCGGGTTCAACACCATCCGCGCCCTTTTGGCGCCTTTGTGCCGCCGCCGAGTATTGCAGCCCAACGGTCGGTGTTTGGCCAAGATACTTGGCCACCCTCATTCCAGCTGCTACCTGCTCCTCATTAGGGCATTGCACAACCCTAGCCAGCTGCCCAATAGCAAACGCGACGTCCAGTCGGGTGTTTACCGCCGCATACATGAGGCTGCCCACCAACGAGTGAAATCGGCGCCTCTCCTCTTCACCAACGCTCTCCTCCTCTGGTCCCTTCACACACTTGAACCCAGAGGGAAAGGGTGTAGCCACATGGCCTTCACTCTGCCCAAAGTTGGCAGCCAATGCATCCAGGTACTTTCGTTGATGCACCCGCATGCACCGCTTCTCCACATCTCGTTCGATGTGGAGCCCAAGGTAGAAGCTCACGTCACCAAGGGCCTTGCACTTGAACTTGTCTTGAAGCTTCAGCATCACCTCCTTCACAAGGTCAGAAGAGGGTGAGAAAATGAGGATGTCATCCACATAAACCACCATGAAACTCCTCTGCTCCCCCTCGCCAAGCATGAACAAGGAGTGATCGGCCGTTGAGGGAGTGAAGCCGATCCCCTCCAACACTTCGCGCAGCTACATGTACCATTGCCTAGGGGCCTGCTTCAGCCCATAGAGGGCCTTCTTCAGCTTCCACACTCTGCCACTACCATCATCAAACCCCTCTGGCTGCGCCATAAAAATCTCCTCCTCTAGGATGCCGTTAAGGAATGCCGTTACGATGTCCATTTGCTTTACTACCCATCCTTTGATGGCGGCTCCCGCGAATAGGGTTCGCAGCGTCGTCAGCTTCACCACAGGGGCAAACAGCTCCTTGAAGTCCACCTTCTCCTTCTGCTGGTACCCCTTGGCTACAAGCCTAGACTTGTAGCGCTCGATCTTGCCGTCGGCATCCGACTTGATTTTGAAGAGCCACTTGGACGTTATCGCCGTACGCCCCTCCGGTAGCTCCACCAATTCAAACGTGTCATTCTCCTCGATGCTCTTCAGCTCACTCTCCATGGCCTTCTTCCACTCCTCAGCATCACTACTCTCCAAAGCCTCCTTGAGAGTTGCTGGTTCTCCCGGCATCTCCACCGGAGAGAAAAACGCGAAGGCATACTCCTCGTAGTCACTCTCCTCGTCGTCTCCGACCATCATTGCCGCTCCGGCCAGGGCTGTCTTGCCCTGCTTTCCCGGCGCATCATAGGTCAGCCTATTAGGGGGTTGAACTCTCCTCTTCCCCCTTCCTTCCTCCTCAGCTG